CAGAATCTTCCTTCTTCCCCTCAAGTGGTCTTCGCTCCGGTCTTCTTCTCCGAGTGGTGACTCCTCCCTTCGCTCCTACAAGCCCTACGTCCTCCAAGATCCGTGACCTTTATCATAGCGTTCTAGTAATAGTAGAAGCTCCAAAGCTATTAATTCCGCTGATATTGCCGGACGAATCGAGAATCAAAGTTTTGCTGTACGAAGCAGCTCCCGCTATTACTCCGCTAAGGTAGCCCATCCTGTAATCATCCTTGCTCAAATAAAGTATCTGCGCATAATCGTATGTTCGATAACCACTCGAGTCTAACGAAAGATAGAATGAATAATTATAAATGGATGATTGAAATGTAGGCTGTGGATATGTAAAACCGGAACTGATTTTGTTTATTCCTATATAGATCAAACGATTTTAGTCATGAGTGCTATTCCTGACTTCGGGGCTTCGATTCCGAAAAAAATCAAGTCTGCTTCGATGGGATATAACTTCGATAGGACGATCGATATTGAGCAATAATTTGAAAATATAATGAGTGAATCAATATACATAAATCATGTGCGCTTCGTTTGTTAAACTCGATTCCGTTCAAGACGGATACAACAGCACATGGAAATACAGTTTACCTGGTAGTGCTGCCGATTTTAAGGATGTAGCATGTGCAGTTCAATCGATTTCGATGTATAACTCTGAATACAACATTGACGCCGCTCAATTGTGGAACAATTCCTTTAAAATTGAAGTTCCGACAGCTGGAACCACAGCCACTGTATCTGTTAGCTTGCCTGATGGGCTTTACAGTTATACTGATATAAATCGAAGCATCCAGACAGCTCTCGTAAATGCTGGAGCGTATTTAATTAATCCATCGGGTGAGAAATTTTCTATATTCAACTAACGGAAAACAGTGTGTATTATGCTGCTCAATTCGATTTTAGCGCTACTCCAACGACACTTCCTACGGCTGGTGGCACTTGGACACGACCGGCAAGTGGTCTTTATTCGTCAGGCGGTACTAGTTTGACAACAACAACGCGTGTCCCTCGCATCATCATCGATAATGCCGCTTTTGGTAAAGTAGTAGGATTGACTACTGGTACGTATCCTTCCTGGATGAACTGTCATAATGAAGCGCGCACATCAATCACGATCTCAATCTTTAATCAGAATGACACAAAGATTAAGTTCCGCGACACTTCAGTGAGCATCATGCTTCTGCTTCGTCCAAAAAAATAAATAATCGAATGACTAATTTTTTTTTATCCAACTCTCATAACCGAAAACTTCCCTCTCGCCGTTTAGCACGCAAATCGGCCATTTTAGCCTTCATTTCAGGACTGCCTTTAGCTGGTTTCTTAGAAACTCCCACACCATAACGTCTCTTTACCTCACCTTGCATTAGAGTTTCATGTTCCGGTTTGCTTGCTTTTGATAGTATAAATTTCTCACCTGCATCGACTGCATCAGTTAGAACCCCCTTACGTTTAGCATACCCGAGAGCATTTATTGCCGCCTTCTTAACATCCGCTATAGATACACGTCCTCCCTCTTTCTCTATATCACTGTCAGAATCGTATAAACCAACTCCGGTCAATGACTTAATTGCTGCTCTCGCTGGGATTGCTGCTTGAGGGGCCCCAAACGCTGACGCAAGAGCCGGAACCGCTACGTCTAATCCCTTTGAAAGCAGTCCGCTGGCTTTTACAAATTTGAATGCTGTCGATAACCCAGATTTGATTTTACTCCAAATGGATCCCCCTTGGAGCTTCTTGTATCCTTTCTTGCTCTCATGACGTGTGATATCAATTGCGAGCTTTTAGTGCTTTCTCATACGAAGCTGGGTGGAGATGGATAACAGAGCCTGAACCCTTGAGTTGGTTTGCAGTAAGACTTAGCTTACCTGTATTGAGAGCTTTGGGCAGCTTGGCCCATCGCTAGAAATCGTCAATTTGCGATACATTATTGCTATATTCTCTAAAACATATTGAATACAGAATTGACAAATTCAGATCTTTCATGTTCTTAAATACATCAGGTCTGTTGTGCTGCTTGGAATATAACCAAAGCATACAGAAGGGTCCGCAATAGTCGCCATACGTACCTCGATATTTGTTGGTATTATATCGCCCGACTCCATACTTCGTAGGTGCCGCTTCTCCCATGCTATCAAAATATTCGCCATTGTGAACAGCTGTCCAGTGTCCTACATCCATATTAGGTTGTCGTAGCAAAATCAGATATGATCCATTCTTCGGAAGCGGCTGAGTGATCTCACTTGACTCGAATATATTATCGAGCTGAACCCCCATCTTCTCTGCGAGTTGAATAAGATCGTAATCACTGGTAATTGGCGTAACAAGGCTGTTCATAATAATTAATTTAACAAAAATATATTGATCGAGATATAGATTCAACGATGTCTGAAACACAACTTTCCGATCAATACCTTTACCAGAGCTCGCTCAAGAGTGATCCCGAGATTAACTGGCGAGCGCGTGCCTTTTGTTATCGATCTTAACAAGGTTCGTACCAAAACGGTGTTATCACTATCAACGCTACGTCCCAGCTTAATGGTAGTGAAGGATTTTCCTGCCTCCTCGGTGCTTACATTATGCTACAATACAAGGTTTCGATGAAGAACACGCATGTGACGGGGTCGCACAGCACCTTGCGCTGAGGAAGTAGG